TTATATATTATTTATTATATATAGTATAGAGTGAAAATCTGTCCTAGACTTTTTGCCCCACGATGTGCACCTTCCCTGAGACCACTTTGGATATGAATGTTAGTATTTCTAAAGGAATAAGCAGTAGTCTGGTTTCTGTTCAGAAGTTATGTTCAGGATTCTGTTTAGCCTCAGAACTGGTTTTATTTTTTTCTTCCTGAAGATGTTTATCTGCAAAGTGGTGCTTTCATGTATCTGACAAAAAATTGTGTTGTCATTTGTATAGGTTTATGTGAACTACTCATTTATCTTTGCTTGACATTGGTCTGTGAATAGGATCAAACTCAGGGTTTTTAATTGTTTCATAGAAGCCTGGCATGTTTAAGTGAAGAAAAGCCTGCTGGTCCTTTAGAAATCTCTTGTTTGTTTGTTTTCTTATCCTCTGTTATAAAGCTAAAATTTTCTCCCTCATGTTTTTGAAAGAAACTAGTCTGAATTTAGAGATGGGAATGTGAGTTGTCTTCTGTAGCTTCTAGTGCAGTTGCTGCTTTAGTACTTCAGGGAGTGGTGTTAGTAATGCCTCTGTGAGGTTTCGTGAAAGCAAGTAATGGGGATACAGGCTCCTAATCACATGTAAGAAGCAGGAGGAATAGTGCAAGTGTAATCTTTGTTGGGTATTAGTGGACATACTTAGATACCTTAACTCAGTTTTGGCAATATGAATATGGCTTCTTTGAACCATAGTAGTCACTGACACAAGAACCATAAAGCATTAACCTGGTGACACTGCTGTTCCCAATCTCCATCAGCGTGGGGGAGCTGTCATCATGTTGCTACATGCATTTCACATGCACTTCTGCAAAACAGAACTACCAGCTGAAGAATGTTGCATCTTTGAGTTACTTACAGTCTACTGCTAAAAAGTAATCTCTACAATCCTTGCCCTACCTTTCTGCTATTTCTTCTTGCAGTTTTCTGTGTCTGGCAGACCTGGTCTTGAGCTTGGAGTTGTTTTGCCCTTTTGACTGTATAATTAGTGATTCAAGCTTTAAAGAAAACTTCTCTTAATACTTGCAACTGTCAGTCTAGCATTCACAGTACAAGCTGTGGGCCTTCTGTGTTTTGAGAGCAGCCTCCTGACTAGTTTTCCTGCTATTTTAGTTGGAAATTAAGGACAGCAGATGTTCAAAAGAGAGAAAAAACTCTTCCACTGCTTTGTCGTGAAATCAAAATTACTTCTTCCAAATTCTCTGTGGAAGTTCTAGTTCAAATATGGGAGTTCTTCAGTCAATCAGCCTAAGTCAGGTTTTAAACTTTTGAACTTATGTAGATTTATGGCCTCTTCAGACTCTCAGCCTCTGCCACACTAATATAGTACGACTGCAGATGGTAATTTTAGATAGGACAGTTACTAGCTTTAGAAGTACTAGTTTTAATTTAGTTTGTGCAGCCTCTGAATGCCTCTTCCATGGCAATCTCTGTTGCCGGTAGCTGGACATAATTTATTCCGTTAGCTCAGTTTGTGTAGTAACTTCAGTTGTTTTGCTTGCAAACTGAAAATCATAGCGCTTGCTCTAAGGTATGAAACCAGCAAACTGTAAGAAACTGATTGTAATACTTAACGGGAGAAGGGAATGGCCAGAAGAGTAGCAGAAAATGGCTCCTAAAGGAGTCTACGTGCTGTTGTAGTCCAGATCCTTATGCATATGATGATTAATCCTAGAAATCTGTACTTTCTGCTGTTCCTGCAGGCTTTATTCATTGTTGTTTGCTACTAGCTTTTGTTCATCTGTATGTTTGTGAGTGCTGTCGTGGAATATAGCAGCTCTGAGTGGAGTGGTGGTGTTAGGTTGTATGGTTGCTTATGCTTACATCTGTTGGTTCACTTCTAGGCAAAATCCCCTCCTTCTCCCACCCTGGATAACTACCCAGTTCTTTGCATGAGAGTTTATTTTTCTGCTTCATATGACATACGTGTTATTCAAACAGGAAAGGAGTTTAATCTTTCTGTGAGAGGCCTTTGTTATATCTTCAGTTGTTACAGTAATGTACGCCAACCTTAATGGTTAAGTGAGGATTTTTCAGTGTAGTCTTTAACTTCATGTTATGTCCTTATGTGTTTTTTAAAATGCTTATATAAGGAATACTTTGTTTGGCTAAAGCTGGTGGAAATTACTGAATTTGAATTGTCTAGCATTTCTCCCCATTACCTGGTTTTGTCTTAGCATAATTGGTAATACCAGATCACAGAGGGCCCTCTAAACAGCCATCAGTACTTAGTGCTGAGCTGGACCAAAATGGTGGCTTTTCATTTATTTCTTCAACTTGCTGGAGTTGTACCATAATTGTTTTGCTAACTCATGACTAGTTGTCTCTTTAAGTTAAAACTCTTACTGACATAATATATTCCTAACTTCAAACTCTTATTTCTCGTCATCTCTTTCAATGAAAGATGATTTAGGGACTTCTAATACCAAGATTCTACCTTTACGTCTCTGATACGACAATAGCTTGAAATGTTATGTGTAGAAGGAATGATGCTTCAGCTGTTGTAGTCTACAGACAGTTTGTTTACAGTATCCTAGATCAATGTCCCTATATTACAAAACTTGTTAGTCTTACTGCATGAGAATCTTCAGTGAAACCCCCTGCATAGCAGGGGGGTTGGAACTAGATGATCTTGAGGTCATTTCCAACCCTAACTATTCTATGAGACTAGCTATTAAGTCCTGCAGTGCTTCTGTCCATTTCTGCCCACTTTTCCAAACAGTCTTCATCTTCAGTTTCTTTAGTCCAGCTGGAGAAGGGTTGTGCATATGTTCTTTGTCCAGTAAAATGCTGGAATGGACTTGCCACAGCTCTGTATCGCTGATGATTGGGAGGCAATTCTTTATTTTAGGAAGAGAGCCAAGAGGGTCAGTTTCAAATTACATTGCAGTTAGTTTGGTTCAGAAGTCTCCTGGTTCAAGATGGTTGAAGAGAACTATTGAGAGAGGAAAAGGGATGCATCAATTTCTCCCTTTTTACAGTTAATAAGCTGTGTCAGGCTGGATCCCTGAGTTGTAGTCCCCAACTCATTTCACACCCTGTTGTCCTAATGGACAGGTCCAACTTGCTTTTGTTTCATAAATATTTGCCTTTGACAAGCTAAATCATGTTGAATCGCAATTTGGTAATATTGATCTGGAAAATACTTTCAAACCAATAGTTACTATTCTTGAAAGGGTGAAATGAGTAGGATGTAAAAATATATATATTATACTTTAAAATATTTCTTGGTAGGGCCTGTAAATTATCTGAAGGATTACATACATGGGAGTGTACCAGGACCTTGTATGTCTCTGCCTTTCCAATAACCTTTACTGACAGTGTGTAGTCTTTAACCCATCCTTACTTCTGCTTCAAGATCCAGCCTAATGATCTGGAGTAATTCTCCTCTATTTAGTTCTGTTTAGTACTTTTCTATTGATTTGATTTTTCTAGGTATTACAATTAACAGATGATCTGGCAGTTACACTGAGTTGATTTTTCTAGGTATTACAATTAACAGATGATCTGGCAGTTACACTGAGTACCTACAGAGAGAATTTCATATGTCACCATTTCAAACATCTTGCAGCTCCAGAGTCTTCACGGTTTGTATTGGCTCATACCCTGGACTTTACAAGGCAGCAGCTGCTGTGACTGTGTACAGGGTGCTCCAGTTCTGACTGTGCTTCCTGTGTCAAATGGGCAGTATTCATTTGAGATACTGGGATGTATTTGAGTCCCTGGTATTTAAAAATTGTTCTGAATCCTCACTCAGCGTAGACAGACAAAATTCTGTTTAACTGGTAGGTTAATGTTCTTTTTCTTTCTTTCTTTTTTTTTTTTTTTTTTTTTTTTTTTTTTTTTTTTTTTTTTTTTTTTTTATGTCTCTGTCAGTGATCCTGGTGGAGGGATTGAGATGTCAGAGTTCATACGAGAAGCAACTCCCCCTGTTGGCTGTAGTTCACGAAATTCTTATGCTGGGATAGATCCAAACAACCAGGTAAGAATTAAAGCTACTGTAGCTGTTGCTTTAGTACTGATGGCTTTGCAATCCGTAGGGTAATCTTTGCTGGTTTGTTGGTTTGTTTCTTCTGATTGAGTAAATCAAAATGGCTCAGAGCATGGCCTGATAAGTACCAAGACCCTCTGTGGTAGGCTTCCCTCTTCCATATAGGATCAGTGAGCAATTAGACAACTCAAGCTTCAACTCCATCCTTGTGTTCTAACTTTGTTTTCCTTGCTTACTTTTGTTTGCTCTGTCATTTAGATGCTTAATTGGCAAACTTCAGCTATGCTGAATTTCAGAAGGCTTCTATTAATGTATCCATTGCTGATTGTCTCCTGCAATGCTAAATGGCTTTCTGAAAGTTATTGTTTCTGACAGTTCAGACTCTGCAGTCAAAATTGCTAATTTATGGAAGTACAAAGCAAGATAACCTGGTAGAAATAGGAAGACTAAAGCTGTGTCTTTTAGGATGACCTCTACAAAATCATCACAATTTTGACACATCAACAGGGATGAGAATAAAGCAATAAATAAGGGCTGCTGCACACCAGATGGAAGCGCTGAAGAACTTGGCTCTTATGTTTTAATGCAACTCATTATGCTCTAGTTGCCTTGTAATTTAACTAGAGAAGTTGTTTTGTTTCCTTATCGTGTCTGATAAATTTATGCATTGAACTTCCATAGTGCTGTTCCTTCTATTTGTCTTGTGGTGTTTACACAGTTGTGGCATCTTTCTTTTACCAGCTCTTCATGAGGGCAAGTTGGTTATCCAGGCCAGACAGTACAGTTATGTTGACAATAAGGAATGCAGCATCATATCAGAGATACATAAGCTATTTTTGAATGGCATGGAAATCCTTGATGTGGTATTACGATATCATCTTTCTAATTAGCTCCCTGAGCAAGCAGTATATAATGTAGTGTAGTGTTATGCTAATGTTGGTGTTTCATCTGAATAATGCTCTGTTACACAGCATAGATACTCTTAAGAGATTTTCTTCTTGGAACAGAGCAGGTATTTTGTAGTATTCAAAAGAATAGGAAGCAATGGTCCATGTATGAAGGCAGAGGTAGGCTGGGGATCATGTTTCTTTGACTGGTCTTTGGGGAAAAAAACCTGTTCCAGACATACTCATAACAGTTTTAATGTTAAAGCATATGATGAAGCTCTATGTTGTTTCCAGTGTGCTTTAATGCTGTCACTGTAACACAGTTAAAGTGACCATGAAAGGAAGTAGATTGTTTAAAATGTGTTTATGTTGATAAGTGCTCACTAGACCCTGTGATTTGAATTTGCAGCATCAAAAGGGTATGTGAATAATAAGCATCTGAGTTTGGTTCAGTTTTTTGTGTACAATAGCTTTCCCATGCTGATGCACTTGTATTCAGCTGCAGTATTCAGCAAGGCATGTTACTGAAGAGGGGGGAAAGTTAAAACATGGAAAAATTACTAACTAAAAGTGTGTGTGATGACGTAGTAAAGAAAATGCATTAAATAAGCTCAGGTTGCTTATTTGTATTACATGCAGCAAAGCCATTGTTCTTCTGTAGCATGGCTGAATAAAATAATCTGCACACATATTCAGATTACCTTAAATTTGTTGTGCTTACAGAGAAGAAGCAGTAGAATTACGCTGTTTTCTCCAATGTCGTTTAAACTAGGGATCTTTGAAAAGCAGCATCCCAATACAGTAAAGTCAGATTGCCATCATTTTTATGTATTTTGGGTTCAGAGTGCTATGCTGTCTTATTTCTGAGTGGTTTAATTATTTGACACATGCATTTTTGTGTGTTCAGAGCTCTTTGAGAGAGGTGTTACTGCAAATATTATTGAAGGAAAGACCAAGTTCTATTTAGCATGGCTGCAAAATAGTCTGGTACAGATTACAGGATGTATATAAAAAAAGCAGACTGCAAACCTAAGCAGTTAGCTAGTTTTCACATGAGGAGGTATGTGCCTGCTAGTTGGCCATTGAACATGGCTGAAAAGCAGATACTGGAAATTTGAAATGTGGTTGTAGCTAAAATCCAAGAATAGATCAAGGAATACTGCAGTTTTCCACTAACCAGTTTACTTGCTTTGAGGTAACTGTAATCTGTGTCCTTGGAAACTGTCTTCAAAAGAAAAATGGCATTTGCAGGAATGAGGGGGAGGAATAAGATACAGTAAAATGATTAGGTTAAATTGATTTAAGTTTACTCATCTGACAGCAGGGATCATCCTGCCATATCCCCTGTTCATGCTGCTGCCATTTTCCATGTACCACACCTAGGTTCTGTGGTTACCTGATTATTGCATCAAGTCTGACAGTCCTGAAAACTAACCCTGGTAAAAAAAAAATAACTATCTTTTCCAATGGGCGCAGTTTCTGGATTTAACTTTACTGTGTGAACAGGTAGACATGGTGTTTTCTTTAAGCATTTTAGGTAACTGATCACTGCATTAAACATTTTAGCTTTACAACAGCAGTTACTAGTATGCCACCACACTAGTAGTTTGCTTCCACATTAAGTATTTTCAAGGAAAATTCCTAAACTAGAAACTTTTTAAAATTGGCATAGTAAAATCTCCTGTACACTGGCTATAAAACAGAACAATGCAGTGATATGGTTGGGTGCATAATCAACTGCCTTGTCATCTCTTTGCAGTGGAAATATTCTGAGTCAGAGAGGATTTGACAGTACTGTCCTGTTGGATACTTTTGTGCCATTGAAAATCTCTGCTAGGTGTATAGACAAATGCATGCATTGCAGTAATAGGAAACAACAACTGGGTAATTACTGGAAGTTCACAGCTTTTTACATAATTCCCTCTTTCTAGGTTGGATCTGGGTTATCTCGTCTGGGAACAGCAGCAACCATCAAAGGTGAGATTTTTGCCTGCTTCTTAAGATTACCTTGCAAGTAGTGCTTCCAATCACTATTCCTTACAACATTGTTTCCAGTATTGTTCAATTTCAAAGCTATTCTGTGAGCTAAGTATGGCATTTACTACTTGGAAGAAATCTTCCTTGCAGTTGCAAATTATGTGTCTAAAACACTAGGAGAGAATATCCTGGAATCTATGCTTTGCATATAACACACATGCATATAACAGGGCTTGGGTGTGGTTTTTTATTCCTTTGCTTGTAAATGCAGAGCCAAGGGTTTGGTTTGAGTGGACTTTTCCCTCCTACTTTGAGTTCTAGGCAAGCAGTTGCCCTTCTTTAATTTTATTTCCATGACTTGATAATTTCTGGTTGCTTGGTATCTGGCACAAGTATTGTCCAGAACAACCCTTACGAACTTCTCTGAGATGAGAAGATAAATTATTTGTGGTAAGCAAAGTTGCTATCTTGCACACTTATCAAACTAATAATAAGAGAAGAAAATAAGATGTGAGGGGTTTTTTTACCTTCCTGAATATTCCTTACCATTTAGTATCTATACAAGTATTTTATTGCAATGTATCCCTAATTTTTATTGGCAGCCCCACTGGCTTGTTGTAAGGTACTGTTCCAGTTCTTCATGCAAGATCTGAGTAGTTGAATGAAAACTTTCTTGTATACAGAATAAAAGAAACAGAGTAGGCAATACTTATCTCTGACAGATAAGAGAAAACTTGTGTTACTTGTAATTGTTGTTTACCTTCAGATGAAGAAATAAAAGCAACAGTCTTTCGTAACAGGTGAGATATCTATGGTGTATGTGGATGTATGTGTTAATATTTTGAGCACTTGTACTCTTCTTTCTTAAAATTCACAGGAGATACTGACACTGCCAAGACCTCTGATGATATCAGTTTAAGTCTTGGCCAGAGTTCTAGCCTATGTAAAGAAGGAAGTGAAGAACAAGGTAAAATTTCTTCTTCTGCATATAAAACATGGTGTTTTGTTACCAAAACCCCTTTGCTTAACATGCTAAGTAAATTCATGCAATTTGTTGATAGAGAGTAAGAAAGGGGATCTTGAAGTTCTCTATTTCTTAATTACTCTAAGTTCCTGGGATGCATAGCTTGAACACTTTTAAACTTTATTCTTTGGCTGTGTGTTTATTGTTCTGGCATCTTCCAGCAGGTAATAAATACTTAATATCTCTTTACTGCTGAAAGATAGCTAGCTTGCATGTCCCTAGAGGATCTCGCTCGTACTGAAAGTGGCCTGGGGTTCATGGACTTCATTGTAGGCTAATTTGCTTTGCTTTCCAGTATAACCAAACGTGGCAGGCATGCTTTTCTGTAAGATAAATAATCCTGCATGGAGTTCTGTGTTTGGAGCTACAGGCTTCTAATGTGTGAGCTATGAGAGTTTTGTAATTGTTTTTTTCCTGGTACATAAGGAAACTGCTAGTTTGCATTCTTCAGTTGTCCAGTTTTGTTTCAGATCTCATTTTTTATGTAGCTTCATTGCCAGGAAAAAGTCTGTTTGGACTAAAATGAAGCATAAAACTGTAGGGAGCTATTTTGTTTGCTGACTTTAGAGTACCTGCTGATTAGCAGGAAGTTAACTCTCAGAATACTATAGTTCATTTTGGCCAATCTGATCAGACTGATGGGTTCCTTTCAGTTACTATGTTATTCAGTGCAGGAACTATGTTTACAATAGAGGATTACAGGTGACCATGGTGCTATAGTAGGCAGCAGTGTTCTACTACTTTCAGCTCTGTAACAGAACTGTTTGTGAAGTCTCTTTAAGTTACACATGTGCAAATACATTCCACAAAAACTTAACAATCGTAGTAACTTAACCTGGTCTCCAAATCTTCTGTTTTTAGTGACGGTACCAAAAAGGAAAGTAGCCTGACTTTCAGTACTACCTGCTGGTGGACATTTTCACTTGTGGTGGATTACAGAAACAATATCTCTGACAAGAGCTGACTCATGATCGGTTTTAAGAGCACCAGTAGTTAATTGGTAGTAAAACTCAGTAACCTCATAGGGAGTTTCATTCTAACACCACTAGACCTGTGCCAATACCTGCGTCTTTGTTAACTGTGAGCTTACTTGGTAAATGGTAGAAAAGGGTATTTCTGTTGGCATTTTTGTGATTTCAAAGTTAATCTGTGTTCTTTAATAATTTTAAAGTTTATGTGGAACAAACAGTTTATTGTATGTAGGTAGTAAAACTAAAGGCAGTATGTACTTTTAAAATTAAGAAGCTTTGGGATATGTAAAAACATTGTCTGACACACATGAGCAATAGAGGAGTTGGGGACTTGTCAAAATGGTGTTGTCTTTCATTAGCTGCTAAAATCAGGTTGGTGTTGATGTTTTTGGTTTTTTTTTTATATATATATGTATAAAAAAACTATCAGACTTGCTCAGGTGCTAGGAAATCTTTTAAATGGTAATGTAATGCATAGTACTTGCAAATGGATTTGTCATTTTTATTTACTTTATCTGATATGCAATCTGCCTTACAACTGGTTGTTTATAACTTACATGAATATTTTTAAATGTACTTAAACAGATTTGGCAGCGGATCGGAAGCTTTTTCGTCTGGTGTCGAATGACTCGTTTGTTTCCATCCAACCTTCATTATCCTCTGGACAGGATTTGCCAAGAGACAGCAGTGACAAAGTGTGCCTCTCGAACAACCAGCTTGTGGACCAGTCTAAAGCCAGTACATGTGACACAGAAGTAGCTTCGCTTGTAACTCTACATTCTCACTCCTATAGGAAGGATCATAGACCACGAGGTGTACCAAGGACTTCTAGCTCTGCTGTCGCTTTTCCAGATGCTTCACTAAATGACTTCCCTCTCTATCAGCAAAAACGAGGACTAGATCCTGTCAGTGAGTTAGAAGCTTCCAAGCCCCCTTCTGGATCAAGAGAGTCCTTGGCTGAGAACTCTTGCATTTCGGGAGTCTTTCAATTAGATGACATTCTGAAAAGTAGCAGCCCTCAACCGCTGGCTAAGAGTGGGAAGAGCAAATCCTTGAAAGCAGACAAAAGTGTGGACAGTCTGAGAAGCCTGAGTACTAGAAGCAGTGGTTCAACAGAAAGCTACTGCAGTGGGACCGATCGTGACACTAACAGTACCATCAGTAGCTATAAAAGTGAACATACTAGCTCAACACATATAGAAAGTGTGTTGTCAGAGCATGAGGAGGAGTCTCCTAGAGAAGAAAAAAAGGATGGTAAGAAAAAGGACTGTGGTCTTGACTCGGATGACAGTAGTTCTACTACTGACAAAAGGACTAGTAGCGAAAGGACTGCTGTGGAAGTGAGCGCTATCAGTGGTGTTCAAGAGGTAAAGGGTTCTAATGCATCTGATGAGATGCACAGTCAGAAAGGTCTTGGTGCCTCTGCTTCAGAGGAGGCTAATAAGAACCCACATGCCAATGAACTGACTACACAAGCTGATAGGCCACCTGGGAAGTCTGCTGAACAAAGAGATGAGCAGAGTGAGAAACTAGCTGTGTTAGTGGATTCAAGAGCTTCTAAAGAAATGAGTGGAAAACAAAAAGAGGGAGATGTTCGACCAAAATCATCTAGTTTAATACATCGAACAGCCTCTACCCACAAGTCCAGCCGGAGAAGGACAGGAAAAAAGCGGGCTAGTAGCTTTGATTCAAGTCGGCACAGGGAATATGTCTCTTTCCGAGGTGTATCTGGTACTAAACCTCACAGTGCTGTGTTTTGTCACGATGAGGACTCCAGTGATCAAAGTGACTTAAGCAGGACTTCAAGTATGCAGTCAGCTCACCAGTTCAGCAGTGATAGCTCTTCCAGCACCACCTCCCATTCATGCCAGTCTCCTGAGGGAAAGTACAGTGCTCTAAAGACCAAATACATTTCTAAAGAACGTGGGGGTACAGAGCCTGAAAATGCTCACAAAACCCATGTAAGCTCTGAAGGAATTAGCAAAAAACGGTCTACACGTCGGACTTCTAGCACAAACAGTGCCAAGAACCGTGCCAGAGTATTAAGCCTGGACAGTGGTACTGTAGCTTGTTTAAATGACCCAAATAGTTTAATGGCACCAGGTAACATAAAACAGTTAACCACTTCAAAATCTGATTTGGAAGCCAAAGAAGGAGAGGTGCTAGATGAGCTATCTCTGTTGGGAAGGGCTTCACACTTAGAGTCAGTCACTCGTTCTAGGAATAGTTTACCAAGCCAGGCTACGTTTCCTGAAGGGGAAGAGCAAGAATCAGCAAGTGGAGGTAAGTAAATAACCTACCAGAAGTACCTTGCCATGTTTCATTAATGAGTCTGGTATCTGTAACTTAAGTTGCTGCTATGCTTAAGCGTCTTTCTGTTTCTTCCTTCTTGCCTAGTAAAATGACAAAGCATTTCCTTCATAATCTATGGGAAGATCTACAGAGATGGGAGTTCAGTTCAAACAAGTGTAATGAAATCTATAGGTAGAGCTGTTACGGGTTTGTAACTGGCAGTCTTTGTTAACAAAGAGCTATATCTTAAAGTTACTGTTTGTGATCAAATCAGACCTGCTCCATTGTATTACTCAAACTTCAAATTATGTGTACTATTTTAAAAGTTAACAATAAAAGAGAGAGACTGTTTGGAAGATTGTGCAGTTCAGAAAATTGTGAACATGGAAGTGATTGTTTGACGTTGCTGCTGCCTCTTAGATGAACTCTGGCATGGCTTGAGGTGGTATCGGAAAGACCCAAACAACCCTAAACTGTTACCATGCTGCCTTGAGTTGTGCATTCTTATGATGGTCTAGTTCCTGAGCTGAATTCTCCTAGGGATTTGGTTTTGCTTAGTTTTGCCATTGTTGGCTAGACAGTGTTGTTTACTTTGGGGTTGGTTTCTTTTCGGGTTTTTTGTTGGGTGTTTTTTTTTTTTTTTTTTTGTTTTGTTTTGTTTTGTTCTCATTATGAGAACACAATAACCTTCCTGTGCTGGAGAGAGGAATGTAGTTTCCTCTTACTTTCTGTAACTATTGCTTTGCTTGGTGTAACATTAGTACTAAGCCTACCTGTAGTAGTTGGCTTTAATACAGATTTTTGGAGCTCTTAGGTTTTTGTTTATTGCTTGTTATGATGTTCCAGTCTATTTCTTGGTTAGCCATATCAAGTGCCTTAACTAAAAGGCTTTTTGTGTTATGGAAGATTAGTGGGTTTAAAATATTTTTCAGAGCATATGAGGTTGCTCATTACCTTATTCTGACTTTTGGGATTGTTTGAGGAGGAAATGCCTACCAGATAATCTGGATTTTATTAGCTAAGCACACAAATGCTTCATGAAACTGTATTTTAGATCAAGACAGATCTTTTTAAGAACTTGTAGCAAGTTTACTGTCTTTGCTATTTAGACTGCCTAAGCAAAATGTAGTGACTCTTCCGTCTTAAAAGGAGAGACTTCCAGCTCACAGCGAGATGAGATATGACCAATAGCTCTTTCTCCACTGACATAAGAACAAACTCTAAAAATCAGTACAACTAATTTCGGGAGGGGGGGAAAAGTAGCATGCTACACTGAAGTTCAGTGTATTGATTAGTGATCAAATTTGACTGGTTTATAATTCAGACCTATTCAGATGCTTTCACTTAAAAAAAGAAAAAGCGTACATTGGTACTTTCTTTCTGTTATTCCTAGTAACAGAGTTGCAGTAGCTGTAATGAAAGAGTTCAGATGACTCTTTTTGTACTAACTCTGCAAGCCAAACACTTAATACACACTATTATTAAGCTTTGTTAAAGTGACAGCTCCCCTTTATGTCTACTGAGAATAATTTGACTAATAAAAGGTCTGATTTATGTATTTACTGTTTTGACTCTGCTCTTTAGCAGATTTAAAATGATTTAATTTCATTTTAGTTTGTGTTATTACAGTTTAAAACTGTTAAGGTTTTCTCCTTATATGCAAAGAGGATTAATATACTTTACCTTACAGAGTATGTGAGACTTCATATACACTCAGCAGTTGTCACTAATCTGAAAGAATTGGTGCATGACTGATGCTGTATGTTACCAAATACTTTTGGTTCCTCTTTTAGAGAGTGAAATGGTGGGGAAGACCAACCCTAACATGCTTAAAAGCAATCTTAAAGATAGAAATCTGTAGCAGTTTAAGCAGTAAAGTCTTGCTGTCAGTCTTGCCGGATTATTCAGTTTCCCCTTCAAACTTTGTTTACGTAATGGTCAGTTTGAAGCTTTTAGTATTTTTAATAAATGGCAAGGACCCAAGTATTACTTGTATATGGGTTTCAGGCTAATTTAAGAAGCAATCTGAATATGAGTTTCCCAGACTTGATGACATATGATGAATTTGCTGTATCATACACTTGCTGTATCTTAAAGGTTGTATTACCAACAGAATAGGATGAACTTCATCTATGATTATAAGAAACTGTCATCCTGCTTTTTTGAAAGCAGACCAAAAACATCACTGTTTTTTAGCATTGCTTAAACATTTATGCAGTCATGTCTAGCATCAAGCCAGTAATTATTTTGAATTTATCTGTTCATGATCAATCTGAATAATTCCTTCATATTGTCCTTCATTTCTATTGGTTTTCCTTTTGCGTGGGTTTGATTGTTTGTGTGTCTTTGTTTTGGTTTTGGTGGGGAAGGAAGGGAGGGAGGCTTTTACCCCCAAATTTATAGCTTATATTACAAGTTTTGTAACAGCTGTGTCTTTATTGTAGCTTTCTTCTTTGGGCTAACCTGTGACTAATGGTAATCAGAGGAAATGTTTTAGCTTTTTATAGTCTTTAAGTTGCTCTTTATTCAGTATTTCTCATTATCAAGTTGTCCTCACCTTTTGGGAGTGTTTTTAGTGTAATACATATCATAAATGTGTATGTGTATAGAAATTATTTGATCAAATTGAGAAGTTATTTACATTATGGAATGAACTTGGTTCAGATTTTCATAAGATCAGAGGAGATTGGTTGGATGGGACTTTCAGAAGTTATCTTGTCCAACCTTGTGCTGAAAGGATTATTTTATATTAATATTTTTTAATTTCTGTGATTGCTTATTATAACTTTCTGAAGCAATTAACAGATGCCCCAAAAGACTGCTATTAACATAGGCTCCTTTTTTCATGTAGCAGCTTTCAGTTTCTATTTTTCAAATAGGACTTGGATCAGTAATTGTAACTTAATTTTATCTTTAAATCTTCAGGCAGTAAACTACAAAGTACATTCTTGCTTGTTTGTGTAACTGCTAAAATGTTTCGTAATGGATATGGCCTTTACTAAGCAGGATGCCCTGCAAACTTGTACATATTTTCCTTTAGCAGATACAGCTTAGCAGTTTCACTTCTATCTTATTATGCCAGGAAGTGGTGGATGACTCACTTTTTACAAGATAACTTGTGCGTTTGAATAGAAATTGCAGTTTGTTAAAATGCAGGCAAACAGCACTTGAAAATCCTGTTATTAAATACATGTAGTGGATGTATACAAAAAAATGGAAGATGTCTTCCAATCGTTATCCTTGTTTGTAACCCAGTCTCTAAAAATAGCTAGTGAATGGATGAGTTGTGGGTTAGATGAAATTGTTTAGGTGTCTAAAAGTTTGCCTAGATGTCCAGTGGTATTTCAGAAATACTACCTTGGTACTCTCCCGTGCCTGGTTTCTGTCGGATGTGTGCTATTCCTGGACTCTGTCTGTAAAGATTTAAAAAACCAATGTAATCCCATCTATGACACAGTGATGTTTTGCAAAACTCGAGCTGACCTGAGAAATCAAGTGTTCTCTCCTGGTTCTATTTAACTGTAAAAGATGCAGTCTTTAAGTTGCTAGTCTTTTACAGCTTGCTATAATTTAAGATTTCTTTATTTACGTTAAGATCTTGAATTACATAGCCTTTTTTAAATAAAACTGCTTGTAATGTAATGCATTTTTTTTTCTGTGCATTGCATAGTGATGTTGAAGTAACAGCTCATAATGTTCCTTTGTGGTTTGTGGTCTGCAGCATCTCTACAGGCAGGCAAAATAGAGTTTGTGAGTTTGGATTAGAATCTTGTTTCATATGGCACATGGAAACCTGTTAATCTTTTCAGTCTGCATGTATTTGTACGTCTATGCTTAATATATCTGCCTGTAATCATTAGACAGTATCCTCTCCAAAGTTAAAGGTACAATTCTGTTCTGTGCCATACAGCCAATGGTCATGTCAGCTGTTAGAAACGTATCACTTCTTTCCTACTGTGCTCATGTTGCATGTGGTTTACAGATATTGTTTGTTTTGCCTGTGTTGTAGAGCTGTTCCATGCTTCTCTTGGCTTTAGGTTAATATGTTTTCCGCGGGTGAAAATTAATACAGTTATGGAAGATGGGGCTTCTGGTCTCTTTTCTAAGAGTCTTATCAGTTCACATTCAAACTGCTAAACCAAACAGTTTTGCATGAGAAATTGCATTCTGAAAGAATTCAGCAGTGGTAGAAACTGAAAAATATACAAAGTTGCTATAATCTGGTTGTGTGTATGCTTGCGATCTCTGTTCATGTGTTCAGCTGGACCCCTCCTGTAACTGCATCAGATAAATCAGATAAGCCAGAAGGAAGGGCTTTCTGCTGTACGAGGCTCTTTATTGGAACCAAAAGACTGTATTCCATTACTTGATTTTTAGATGTTAATTATCAGTGTTGTAATGTACATGGCATTTGGTTCAAGTGTTTTCACGTTAGTCCTTCCCAGTATCTGTCTTTGCAAGCATAATGGTGTTCTGTTACCGCTTTTGTGTGTAAACATTGAGTTCTACAGAATTACCTCTGACTATGGATATCTTGTCACATCAGTAGAGGTGAGGTGTTGCTGTTGGACACTTAAAGATGTAAACAGAATTAGGAGTGATATTCAAGGCCAAAATGAAATTCTGCAGCTTTGGAACTAACAATGAAATAACACTTGGAATGAATCTCGCATCTATTAATTGTTAATCACTGCTTACTAAAGCAAAATGTAGTTTTAATATGTTGTGGGGGGACTCCATCCTGGCTGTTTTATCTCCTTTCTAGTATTTATGGATAATACAGGGACTTTCATTAGATGACTTATGACCAAAGTAATTACCATCTTCCTGATACTTTGTGGTTCCGTAAAGGTGGTGATGGGGAACAAACAAACCTCAGGTTTTGTCCAGCTCACAGTAGTGGCTGTTGAGAGCCAGGGATGTGTGTAATTGCTTGGCAGAAGTTCTAAGTACTAGTGGTTAAGAGGCTTCCTGTCACTTGGTAGAAACAC